CCAAGTGTCCTTCAGAGCCACACTTAAAGCAAGTGAGTGGGAGCTTCCTCTACACTGCCATCTTAAGAGACAGTGGTTCAAATCTGCTAGATGCCCTGAGGGCGAAAGATAGGCAATCACTTCCCATGCCTCTCAAAACTTGTTGGAGGGTTAGCTATGAATCACTTCCAACTCAGTGGTACACAACATACAAAATGTTGCAGGAAGATGAGTTTTGAGGGAGAGAAAGAATCACCCAGACACCTGAGTTGAAAAGAGAAACAAGTTTATTTGCTGGCTGACTATTGTCCAAAGTGACCATGAGCTGCTTTGTTCTGAGCTTTTTATAGGAAATAGAAAAAGGAACAGTCTTGCTAATCCCTCATTGGTGATTTGAAAGCATTGGCGGGAATTGATAGAAGTGGATGCAAGCCTTAGTTTTATAATTTCAGAAAAGTGGGAGGTGAGCCAGACCTACTCTTACAAGGTCACCTCTGTTCTGGTCCAGTAAATAGAGAAACATTATTGCAGAATCGCAGCCTTCCTGGATCTTTTAAAAGAAGTACATCTGCAGGGCCTCTCTTCTGCCTCCCTAGAGATTCAAACTTTCTTGTTGAGCCTCTTCCCAGGGCTCTCTCAGTTGAATGTCTCTGAACTTCTTCCTTAGGTAAGACATGGAGTAGTGTGGCTCCCACATCTGAACTATGCTATGTTACACTGCCCTTGTCAAGGTGGTACTATCACCATTATAAACTGTATACCAGTCCAGCTCAGTATTTTATCATTTTTCTGTTAAATTCTTGAAAACAGGCTTATTCTAAGGTTTTCTTTAAACGTTTATTAGGAGTGGCATCCACTTCCTAAATAACATGCCTCTGGAAACTCTATTAAGTTATAGAAATGTCAATAATTGTAGAGTGGTTTCAGGCCTTTTGTTCATGGGGTCACTTCGTGTTATGTTCAACTTGGGGGCAATCAACAACTGTGTGATTGCTTCAAAGAGCATCTTTTATCTGCTTTTCAGAAGAAGTGCTTGGGAAAACAGTGTTGGCATTATGACGATTTCTTGCCTGTGTTATTTTTTAATGCTAGTCAGTACTAAGATATAAGTAAATCCTATTTAATAAATATGTAGTGTTTTATT